GTTCAGCAGCGAAAAGCGATCATTCTGCTTCGAAAACAATGAAGTAAAAAATTATAAAGATGATTGTAATAGCGAATTCTTTTATGAACTCCAGCTATAAGAATTAAATTGCAGGTGGATCAGCTGTTCGGAGTATCGAAGAACGAAACTGAAAAATTGTGGGCCGGAATCTCAGATAGATCGCTTTCTGAAAGTAGTTTTAGATGTACCGATGATCTTCAAACAACAAAACCATTGTTCTCGATCATATCTGAAAAGACACTTTCATGCAGTATGTTGTCAAAGATACAAATATGTTAATCTTGAAAAATCTCAATGTTATATAACAAAAGCATATTTTTTTATATAATGCAAAATCTTTCAGTTTTAGCTGCGGACAAGTTACAGGATATAAATACAAAAACAGCTGTTGAGCAGCCAGACATAACTTTGAGAAAGATATTGCTTGGTCAGCCATACACATTAGAACAATACAAGTCTCTTGCTAGCAAAACTGCCTTATTAGATGCCGCTATTTTAAGTGGAGATGGAAATGCTGTTTTAATAGTATGAATATATCTTATATATAGATAAAATAACAACTTTGCAACATGATATTGTATATATAGTCATAAAGTTAACAATATTTATGAATATCATTTAATACTGATATTTGATTATAATGTTGCAGATAATTTTATTTCTTACAAAGACTTTGAAACGGTCATTTGTGCAAAGATTATTAGTAGAGAGACCAGAAGCAGTAAATATATATATACATTATCTTTTTATAAGACTGCAAACAAGTGAAATAACTGATATTTTAACGTATGTAATTTCTTAGCATACCGTTGATTGAAAATCGCCATTATTTTTCTCACATCTGATATTTTACAGAATGCTGGGTCATTCCTCGATTGCTGCTGTAAATATTACTATTATATATGCTATGCAAATTAAATCGAAATATGTATTTATGCTATGGTTTATTACAGATGAAGAATCTTCATATTATTATAAAGAACACAAGAGACCCAAACAGATTGCTGCAAAAACTTCATAATTGCCAGAAAGCACATTTTGCCATGTTACCTGATTGTAAAGAAGTCATATTTTTGGAATCTTACATTAAGTTATTGGGTATGCTTACAATTTTTCTTTTTTGCTATGATATGACAAATTATTGTTTTTATACTGTGAATTGTTAGAATGGCAAATAGCAATCAACCAGAAAAAGGACAATGAAGAGTTCCCATTAAATTCTTCTATTCGAGAATCTCTGCATTATGCATGCAAACATCATTACAATACACCGAACACATTTGTCGCAATATCACCTATAACGCTCTCTCGAGACCATGACATTTCTCCTAGACTATATCAAAAAATCGCTATACAAGTTAAAGCTGCCTATGGTGGATGGGACGATATCGATCGTTTACTTTTAACAAAAGTAATGTGTTTTGTCTTATAATTTTCCATTTGCCTAATAGAATTATGTTTTATTATATCGATGATATTATAGGGAATACTTGGTAATACAAAGCTACAAACACATTTGCATATAGAAGATATTTTGAAAATACTGTATGAACACAATGCACCATGCACCATACTCGAAAAGTATTTGAAATTTGTCGACGATTTAGAGAAACGATTGGAGATGGCAAAGAAATTATCTTGCCATACAATAGTAATCGATGTATGTACATGCTTTTATAAGAAAAGAAATTTATAGTTGAAAGAATGTATAAATGACATTTGCTATAAAGTTGTATATTTATTAATTTTAGATATATATACAACAAGGGGACCGAATGATGCTGGTGGATTACAAAGCAAAATTGCAACCTCAATCGGAAGAATATTTTTATGCCGAAAGCGCGTTACATTTACCACACGTCAAATGGAAAAGTTAGGTCTGTTGAACATGTAATTAATAAACATGAAAAATAATATATATTTGAAAATTATTGTGTTTTTCACAATAAAATTGGAAAATTATATTTAATATATTGAAATATCTAAAAAAATCATAGTTATAATTTTTTTTGCACATCTTACAAGAGTTGTATCATTTCGTTATTTACTCAAAAATGCAAACAATCGCGTAAATTACAAATCTAAATTTAAATAGCGAATAACAATTTCAGTTAATGTTTACGAAACTCGCCAATTTATAATCATTTTCGATAATTTTTAATATTCTACGTTTACGACAATATATTAAATGTCGCATTATTTATATAATTTTGCATGTATTAATTTCTTTTACATTTTTATTTATATTTTTCTTTTATATACGCACAAGTTAGTCGAGCTAGTTATTTCTTTATTCATGCACGAAGGATTTATTCCAGCTAGAAACCCCCAAAATAATTCTCTCCCATTGGATATCGAATCTCATTTGCAATATGGATCTGCCATAATTGTACCCATGATGTGAACGTGGCTTTAAGGGCCAATTTCACAAAGTCCGGTTAGATTAACCGACGGTTAAAATTAGCAGGGTGGCCAACAGAAAATAGAGGTGAAGGAAAACCAAGCATTCTTATCATTTCAGTTGGAACCCTGCTAATTTTAACCGTCGGTTAATCTAACCGAGCTTGGTGAAATTGGCCCTAAGTCGATAATCGTAGATTACACATCTTTACACGCTGTCTAGATTGTGGCCGTATTCCTTTGTCGAATCATCGTTGTCAGGTCGGGTGAATCTCTTTTCGTTCTCGCTTTTGTTCCACGTGGTACGGCAATCCTTCGATCCCGTCGAATTTACGCGTTGCGTAGAGATCGGGAACATCATCCGGACATCGTCTACGTAGGTAGAGAAGTGCGCGCGCGCGGCTCCGCGCCGGCCAATCACGCGCGAGGGAATCGTTAGAAGTTTCCGTTGCGTGCGCGTTTGAACGATCTAGTGCACATTTGTCATCTGCGAGGAACCACTCCCGATTCTCGCTGTTATTATCCGCGTTTTTCCTCCCGCGATTCTGAGGTAAGTTGTCGTTGTTCTTTGTCGCGAGCTCCGGACCACGCGGACCAAACGCCTCGCCCTTTCTGGATTTTTCTCTCGCGAGGTACGTCCCGGGCGAGGTGAATTGTACGGCTCGACGAGTCTGGACGATCCGAAATCGCCGATAAAGAATGCCGAATATGTCGCGAACACGAGACAGTTTCGTAGCAAAAAAAAGTTAATGGCATGTTAGATCCCTCGCGGGATCCTCTCGGGTTCGATCGTTCAATTGATCTCGCCGATCGCGTGTTCCGGGTTGCAACGGCAAATTCAACGTATATTGGTCTCATTTATTTTTTGTCGAAGAGATTACCGACTTTATTTATATCGGACGTAACGCCGACTGCGCGAATCGTGATCGCGATTTTAATTACAATTTTTTTAGTCTGTATGTGAAATGACAATAATTGTGATATTGTGATGTTAAATTTAAGATTGACCGCGATATATTGTGCTATAATCTCAATATTCCATTGGTATTGCCAGATTATTTGCTAATATTTTATACATATATTATTTTCCAGTTAGAGCAAACAAAGCAACATGGCTGTTAACGTCTATGCCACGAATATGACATCCGACAATCTCAGTCGTCACGATATGTTGGCATGGGTAAACGACTGTCTCCAATCCTCGTTCACCAAAATCGAAGAGTTGTGCACCGGTGCTGTTTACTGTCAATTCATGGACATGCTCTTTCCGGGCAGTGTACCTTTGAAGAGAGTCAAATTCAAAACCAATCTGGAGCACGAATACATACAGAATTTCAAAATTCTTCAAGGTGGCTTCAAAAAGATGAATGTGGATAAGGTAAGCAAACAGCTATCTTTTTTTTTCTTCTACTATTGACTTTGATAAATACATCTTAAGGGCAGCAAACTCATATAAAGGGGATATATCTGGCAATAAGCAAAAATTATATTCAGGAAAGATTATATTATAAAAGATAAACTTTAAAATAATTACATTGAAAATTTTAATGTTTTTGCATATCTTTTATCTCCCTTCTGTTTACTGACACGGATCGGGGATTGTAAAAAGAGAATACAGTTTATGGAAAACAAATTCAAGAACATATTAGAAGAATACAAGAAATAATCATTAATATCCTAATATATAAATAGATAAATTATTATTACACGACATAGTATGAAGATTATTTTAAGATAAGATGATTATAATATCCACATAATATAATGTCACATCAAGACCTAAAATTGCCTGGCATATGTGCTAGTATTATTTTGGGCAGAACAATCTGTGTGAATGAAGGAAATCATAATGATATGACCATGGGAATGGTTCAGGTAATACCAGTGGACAAGCTGATAAAAGGGCGCTTTCAAGATAACTTTGAGTTTCTACAGTGGTTCAAAAAGTTTTTCGATGCGAATTACGACGGTCGTGAATACGACGCTTATGAGGCGCGCGGCTGCATACCGTTAGGTTCCGGCGTGGACGGAACGCACAATTTGTCGAATCCCCAGTTGGTACCTTTGCCACCGCAATCGAAGCCGCCGCAAATGCAACAAAAACACATACAGCAACGTAACAGCGTTCCGCGACAGCAGCAGGGTATATCGTTGCAATCTCGATTTTTTACGCGGCCGCTTCTTGCATGCCGTTTATAACATGTTTAAGTAATATTTCTATATAAACAACCCTCACACACACCACATGCACATATAAACATGCACATGCGTATTTTAAAAGTGCATATATCAACTTTTAATATGCGATCGTTTGCAATAGTATTATATATTGCAATCTGTAGTATCCGTAATTTCAAATTATTTTAAATCGATACGCATTAAATGTATTATGAGCTATTTTTGCAATGTCACACATAAACACATGTACTTCACCTTATATATGCACTCTTCAAATTTCCACAGTATGAACAATAAGAAAATCTAGTAAGAATCTCACATGAATCTATCTAATTTGATGTGATAAAAGATTTACAGAGAGATATGTGGCATACTTTTATATATTGTTAATATATATATTTATATGATATAATTTTCTTTATATAAGAGAGAAAGAGAGAATAGGATAGGATTAGGTATCTGCTTTGCATTTGTTTATTATAGAACAAGAAGAAGAATTCCATAAGACCGTTTATTTTTAATAGTTCATAAATTTATATATAGGGGGCAAAGGATCATGTTAGGCAATAGAAAAAATTTGTATTTATTTTATTTTTATCTATGATTTTTATATCACACAATGATATGTTACATTAATTATTGTAACAGACAAAATCACACAGTGTATTTCTGTGTTTCATATTAATTTTATTACCTCATTCTCCGTATATTATTATTATAGCCATAAAAACGTGGTGCTTTCTTGCAACATTATGTTAAAAACGGTTATTATTATGTGTAAAATTATGGGTAAAATCATGTTTGCATCATCCATTTGGCATAATTTGTTCACATTTATTATGTTTTATTTTATTTTATTTTGCACATACACTCCTCATTTGCAGATTGTGCCAATTGATAGGCTGGTGAAAGGCAGATTCCAAGACAACTTTGAGTTTTTGCAATGGTTCAAGAAGTTCTTTGATGCAAACTACTCGGGAGCAGAGTACGATGCGCTTACTATGCGAGGCGGAGAGCCTATGGGTAGCGGCGGAAATAATGCACCTCGTGGTGGTTCTAATGTGAAACGTACTTCTCCACGTGACACAGTAAATTTGGCTAAGCCTGCTCCTCGTACTACTGGTACATCACTTATAATGATCTCCCTCTCTGATATACAAAAAAGTTTGAGTCTTAACCATGTTAAAAAGAATAGGATCCGACAGAACAAATAATCTTTTCTCAAGTATAACTTCAAACTTATGCATTAACACAGATTACTACTAATCAATAATTATTGATTTGATTGTCTTTTGATGTGTCCATTTTGACTATCTGACTGATCTTGCTGCAGGCGAGTTATTAATATTACATGAATGAATGCTATGTCAGCAGGATTAAACTCTCATATTAAATTATTGTTTTATTAGAAAGATTTCTGCGATATACAGTATGTTCTATATAGGTAGATTACAAATCAGTACTACTGTATTCTTTGTGACAAGGAATATGGCAGTAATGGTCTATATCTTAGCTATATAGGAAACTCTAGGAATTGAAATTATATATTTTCCATTACTCTAAACATTTCAACAAAAGTTTCAATTATGGGTTATTGCATAATATGATGTCAATAATTTTAAATGGAATTTGCCTTTAGGTGAGGGACATCCATCTTCCGTGCGTCCAGATAGTACAAACGTTTTAGGTGAAATTCGATATCTTTTTCCGTTTTTAATTGTAATTCTCGTTATTTACACGTTTTACTTCCTTAGTTTTGTATACGTTTTGATACTGAGATATATATAAAGAAAAATATGGGGTAAAAAAAAATAAAATTATGTTTCTAGTCTATGTTCAGTGATTATGTCGGAGAATCAGTTCCATTAATACTATGATATTATTACAATATATATATAAAAAAAGTATTAAAGCAAGGAGCAAAATTTTAGTGAACATGTAATTCATCGAGAATGAGATACTTTTGTATGAAATATTTTACACGTAGTTAGATTATATTGTCCCCTCACACAAAGTGAACTCTGAAACGATAATTATAGCCTTCCACTAGTCTATGATGATTATCTTTTTAATATTATTATACTAATTTGTAGCTGGTATCACACTATCAACTTGTTATGCACTGTATTATACAAGTTAAGATAATGTGAGAAACATTTTCTATTTTCTTTAAAAAAATTGTCTTGCAATTCTCTTCTATAGAAAGATTTTTTTTTTGTATATATTTCTTTTTTGTAAGATATATTATTACAATTGTAACATACATGTATTGTGCATGATTTTGAAACGCATTCCTG